CCCCAAAACCCCAAAACCCCAATGTATAAAACTTTAAATTTATAAAATTACACATTGAATTCTGATTACATAATATATTTTCTACGATTTTAATTAAATTATGAGGGGTCAAGATTTGTAAGAGCATAGTTAAATCAATATTAGTTAATCCAGTTAACTCGTGATTGATATCAAAATAAATGTCAAAGTTTTTCTTGGAATGATTTTTCAGCAAATTCTCTAATCAATTTCTATCTGAGTATGAGCTCAGTACCTTCTGATAGTAAACTTGCAAAGTTTGATTAATTATCTGGTGTAGCATTCTTTAATTAGAGCAACTTGACAATATGTCTATCATGAATTTCCATTCTTGGCAGGAGCGAATAGAAGAAAGACTCAACATATTTGAATGGAGTTTTCTCGTAGATGGTTGGCAAGATCTCGTAGAATTCATCGAAGTATGGCTAGACGATGTCTAACTACTTCCAGTTGTAGAAGCCGCTCATTCTAGCACCTCTCTTGTAGATAGAGTCTTGAGTAGTATGGTCAATCAAGCTGTCCCAGACTTTTCTCTTGTTTTCTGTATCTGGAAGTGAGGCATTGCAGGTTTCTCTCACATTTACAGCAATGTCTGACTTGTCATCTCCAAGAGTCTTCTCTAGAAGTGCGTTTTTGAATTCCAAATCAAAGGAGGGATCTGGGAAGACCAACTTGACAATAGATTGCTTGTGCTTTTGTGCGAGTTTAAAGATTTCCTCTCCACTCTCAGAGGTGATAGCTCCGATCTCAAGCCAGTCTAAGCAGACTTTAATGTGATCTGGGCTAGAGGCGAAGCCAAACAGGTTATCAACAATGGGAACTCTGGTTGATGGCTCAATGTCAGATCGCTGGAGTAAATGCTTAAGTGTCTCGAACATAATTCTCTTCTTGCCGAGGACTTCTGAGGTTGGAAGATAGAGAGATATCAGAGAAGTGAGGTTCATCAAAGCAACTTGAATAATTTAGTCTACTGACTCATGAGATATTTGTTATATCACAAAATCAAAGTATTGAAGGGAGGATATCTTTCTATCAACAACTAATAGCCATAAGTTTCTCCAGACTTGGCCTCTTGTAACTTCATCCCTAACTTTCTAAATTTCTTTTAAAAACTTGTAAATCTTACATATAAAGATGCCACAAAGTTATCTAGAGATTTTTAATCATATCTAATCTTTGCATAAGCATGATCATTGGCATTCACATTAATGATTGTTACTTTTCCTACATGATGGGAAGCATCTATATCATTCAATTCAACCTTATCACTAATCATATAATCTCTGATAAAAGTTGGCTAGAAGTTTTCGTCATAGAGTGCAATATCAATCATCTATGCTCTGAGTTTGTTTTTCCCTCTTAAATCATTAGTTTGTTTAACCAGTAATTATCTAATGGAGCCATCTGCGTTATAGGTTATCTATGGTTCAAGAATATTAACACCGCTAGTAGTAAGCCAGCTATCACACCATTCTAAAAAGTTGAAATCTTTTCCAAGCTTTTCATTTCCATATTAAGTGTAAGCCTCGTTCAAAGTTCCAACAAAGTCTTTTAATTCAGTGTTTTACCATTAGTACTTGTCGAAGTAAGCATGAAGTCCTTACTTCACTACATCATGACCTAGCAAGTTATAAACTATCTGGAGGAAAGATGCACCCTTACCATAAGAAATGCCATCAAATATAGTTTCAGCTTCCCCTGTATCGTTTATTTCACAAGTGATTGGATGGGTCTTTGATAGTATGTCCTCACTAATACCCCAGAATTTTAATGGAAGAAAAGTAACCCAAGATGTTTTCTGATAAGATAGTTCTGGAGCATTTGTTTAGCAGAGGTATGCCATAAAAGTGGCGAAGCTCTCATTTAACCAGAGATCATTCCACCACTTCATAGTAACAAGATTTCCGAACCACATATGGGCCAGTTCATGAAGATTTGTATTAGAAAACTTTTATCTTTTAGCTAGAGAAGGGACTTCCCCTCTAAATAGATAAATTTCATTGTAAGTCACGCATCCTACATTCTCCATTGCTCCGGAACTATGTTCTGGAGTGAAAATCTGATCATACTTATTGAATGGATATTGCTTTCCAAACAAATCATGATAGAATTTCATACCTGCCTAGGTGACAGTAAACATTTCGCTGAAGTCACAATCCTTAATTAGTGATCTTCTAGCATAAATTCTCATTTTTGGAAATCCTTCAGTAACTCTTTCTTAATATTCGTAAGGTCCAGCACAAATTGCATACAGATATGTTGAAATCTTAAAAGACTGATGGAAAGTATGAACTTTAACATCTCCAACAGAAGCAAAGTCAATTCCGAAAATACTTGCTGATTATTTAACTGCTGCTAGTGCTGTTTCCATTCTTTCACTTGCAGACTCATCAACAGCTTCATTTGATACAACATTCCATTCTGTAGGTACTACAGCGCTGAATGTCCATTTTGCCTTTATATCAGGCTAATCAAAAACTGGAATGACAAAATGACAATAGTCAGCCTCGAATTGAGTGTACAAATATTAAGCCTAAATATTATTAATGAACTGTAATCTTACATTATCTTGGTTATCGTTGAAGGTATGAAGTCCCATTCCATCTTTTCTATACTTATTGTGCACATTTATACTGATCTAATTTGGTTAATTCATAATTTTTTCTTACTTTGTTATTTTATCCATCTCCTAATAAGAGATTTGAAGGAAGGTAGATTTTGTGATCTCTGAAACAAGTAGCCTCTTCTACCAGAGTTCCATTGACAGTCAATCCAGAGATTGAAACTCCTCTGAAATCAAGGAACAATCTGGAATGAGGAATTTTGTTCAAAGTTAAATCTATGTTAACAAGGCCAAAATAATGATCTCCTATTTAAAAATTTTAAGATTTGGCAATTTACCTTTTGGAAGGCAGTATTAGACATTATAAGTCACATCTTTGACATATTCCTTTCTAAATTCACAATCTGATCTCTTTATGTAGATGTTGGTATCGTATGCTTGATCTGAGAAGCTCATATCTTTTTTTATTTTGAATTATTTAATCCTGAATTAATTATCGAACTATTTTCGATTTTTACATTTAAGGGGTTTTGGGGTTTTGGGG